GAGTTGTGCTCTGAGGAAATTCTCTTTGACATAATCTTTCCTTAAAAGTCAGATCTTTCCTCTGGGAAAGGGGAAGTCTTGGCTTAGGCTGACCTACCTCACTTGTTTTTGGCTGGAGAAAGACATTTTTCCTTGGCTGCACGAACACCCCGTGACTTTCACTCAGAACCTCCCTGAGAACATTTTTAAAAAACATTATTTAATTCACTTTAATCAGGCAGCACGATTCCTGGTTCCAATAGTGATTTTATTCTCCTAGCCTGATAAAATGCCCATCCTTTTATTCAGCTACATCTTCTTCACTGTAACAAATGATGCTGAAGGTTTCACAGGTCCTGGGGAGAAGCTCAAGTCTTGGCCGTATTCTCCCACTATCATCTGACTGCAATTTATGTTACTGCGGAATTTGCCTTATTGCAACCATTTGTGGAATGGAAATTTGCACAGATTCATGCACAGAAGGTGATTCTTTGCTTAGCGATGATGTATGAAGCGGTCTCATTTAACATCCTTGAAGACAGCGGGAATTTTGTGAGAGGAACTGCAACCACAAATCTTGAAGCAGAAAAATCTTGACTTAGTGATGTACTGCATATTCCCTGGACAAGCATATAGAAAAAATTAATTTTATTATGAATAACACAACCAAGCACACTGTAAACTTTCACTAGTAGAAAATGTGCTTACCACTTGGTTCACACTCGTTTTGCATCTGGCCAGGCATGCTGATTGGGAGTGTGGCTTTTCACTTTAACACTTTCCCTGGGCTAATTGCTCAGCGTGGATATATTACCATACTTTTCGCTTTTCTCCAGCTGTCAGTCTAACCATCTGCCTGATGAATGCCCACGATTTCAGACAAGCAGGAGCCAAATCTAGCCAAGACATTATAATAATGCAAGGATGTCTTGCACCAGCATCGCTCCACTGCACACAGGATCACCATCCAGCAACTTTATATGGATGTGACCATCACCAGAGCGTGGTGCTCCACTTAGAGGAAATGACTGTGGCCCAACTGTTGTGTGTAGATAAGATGTAGTTTAAGAGAAAATGGCAGGTAATTTTCTTTCTTGTAATAATAGTTTTGAGATCGTCATACGTCATTAAATACCTGGCATTTAAAGTAACACAACTCAGAAATCTGCTTAGCAGTAAATTTTAAATTTCTAATTATTGCCAGTGGCTGTGTTTGCTAAGGATTTGTGCCTGATTCCTATAATTACTTCACAAGCTGCTAAGAATGCTTTATATTAATAGTTAGAGCCATAAACCTGCCGAGAACTGCTGTGTTAAACAAGAAATTCTTCAGAAAGTCAAAGCTGCTTCTCTTTTCTTTTTTTTTCTTTTTTCTTTTTTTCTTTTTTCTTTTTTTCTTTTTTTTTCTGAATGAGCCATTCAAAAGTGAGCTGGATAAGACATGAACTGCTCTGTAATGGGAGTGAGGAGCCTCCATAACTGAGTGGACTCAAGTGTCTTTTGGTTTAGGTGTGCTCCAAATGGGAGGGCAATGGGCTAAAGCTGTCCTGCAGTTGTCCTGTGATGACAAAGCCCTGCCAGGGACTACCAAGAAGAACAATATCCAGAAAAGATGAGAACTATATTCTTTCCAATAGTGCCAGCTAAAGAAGTTTTCCTTAATCCTATAAAAAATGTAAAATCCCTTGCCTAGGTTCTGAGCCAGACTGGAGGTAGAAGAGTATGAGGAATGGAAATGGGTGGCATGAAGAATTCCCTCTTGAATGGGAGTATAGAGCACTGAAGCACAGAGCCCTGGCTAGGCTGAGCTCTTACAGCTAGCAGTTTGGTCATGCAGATGGAAGGTCTCATTTAAGAAAATCACCCACCCCGTGCCTCAGTTTCCCCAGCTGATAGCAGGGATAATCCAGTCCAGGCATTGCATGCAGTACTTTGGGAAGTTAAGGTGACATGGTTGTGTGCAGGAGGCCTAAGTGTTACAACATCGGCGTTCATTTCTACGTGAAGACCATGACCAGCTGTTGAAGTTTGGCCCCGCAGGAGAATTCTCACTTCTTTGGTGTACAATCCATGAACTTTCTTCACTCTGAGGGTGGTGAGGCACTGGCACAGGCTGCCCAGAGAAGCTGTGGCTGCCCCATCCCTGGCAGTGTTCAAGGCCAGGTTGGATGGGGCTTTGGGCAACCTGGTCTGGTGGAGGGGGTCACTGCCCTTGGCAGGGGGTTGGAACTAGATGGGCTTTGAGGTCCCTTCCAACCCAAACCATTCTATGATTCTATGAACTGTAATGCATAGACCATAGTTTCTCCTGGGTAAATGTCAAAGTTGTATATCTGCCAAAAGAAAGGCCAGTAAATGGTGTCTGAAGTAGCTATTAATCTTTAGAATTCATTGCTCCAAGTCCAGATTGCAAATGTATGAAACAAAAAAACGAAAAAGAAATTAAATTAGAGAGATTTTTCGTGAACAGTTGTTGTTTCATGCCGGGTTGGGTTTCAGCAAGAGCAAAAACAAGTGAAATATCAGCACAAAGACATAAATTAAGCAGGAATACTCTAAGAAAAAATCTAGTTTATTCTGTGCAGCCAGCCATGTCGTTTGTCATCTTACAACCCAGGAGTCAGGACAGTGGTGGGAGCTCCTGGTTGTGCCTGAAAGGTGCTTTATCAAGGTGCAGATATTACTATTGCAACAAATAAGGGAGATTTGTTTTTTAAAGGAATTGGAGGCATCCTGTGGTGTCAGACGAAGTTCTTTGAGTAATACAAAATAAAGCCACAAGTTGAAGTCTTACAGTGGTGATATATTCCTCTCTGGGTGTACTGAAGATGTCTGAGTGTGCCTTTCACACTCCAGCACAACTGCTGATTTCAGATGATATTTGGATGAGATTTGGGTGGAGATGACAGTGACCCGTCTGTGCTGAGCTCTGCCTTCATCTGAGGTAACACTTCAGTCATTAGGGAGTCACTTTGCGTAGCCGTGGACTGACCTGTGGACACGAGTTGTCCCCAGTTGTCCTTATTAAATACAGAAGCAAAGACAGCCTGAGGGAAATTACCTGTTTAAAGGAAAACTGGGATAAGTACTGTTTTAAATGGGTGACTACAGCTCTGGGAGAGAGGAGAACTGGCAGGACAGTACAAAGCATTTGACAGAGACCTGGAGCTATGCTTTCTGCTGAGATGGTGTTCTCAGCAGCCTAATGGAGGGTGGTGAAGCCTCTGTGCCATGAAAGGGTCTCCAGCCCAAATGCATGCTCCCTGACCCCATCTGCACCTGAAACAACTATGCCATGGAGTCCCCAAAAACCCTGCTCATGCCTGAGGGAGCGACTGTCATGCTATTGCAGGAGCAACCTATGGATCAAGCAGTGATGAAGATTATATAAACACAGAGAGGTATACGGTCATTGCATCTCCATAGACATCTCCTCTAAGACACTTGCCATCAGAGCTCCTTCAGGAGTCCATAGACTCCATGCAGTGACAAGGCAGCTTGCTCTGCGGGTCCCAGGAGGACCTCCTTACATTGCTGCAGCTGTGAGGGAGGTGGCCCTCCCCAGTTTAACTCTTCATTCTCTTTCCCCACCCTTCTTGCTCTGCTACCTCCCCTAACAGTAATCCCTGCTTGGCTTTTCTTACCAAATACCTTCCCTGGCATGGACTGAACAGGTTTTGAAGCTTTCTACAGCAGTAGAGATATGGCCAGGACTGTCCCAAAGCCCAGTTACTGCTAGAAACCCTGTAAACTCCTTATCTCTAAATAAATCAAATACACCCCATTAAATACAGAGCTTTTAAAACCCACACCTCACTCCTTCTTCAGATTCCCATCACCGTATTCTGGCAAGCTTGAAGATGAAATCCTTTGACTACCACCTATGTGCAGCTATTGACACTTAGCCATGGATCGAAGTGACTTGCCACAACTTTCAGGTGTAAGGAAGAAGTGGAAGATATTTTTGTATTTGTCCACAAGGCCTGACACTCCTGTGCAGACCCTTCCTACAGCAGACATACCATAAATCCAACGTATCCAGCAAGCCTCCACGCTGCTCTGCAAGGCTGCAGTCAGGGTAAATGGAAGGCAAGCAGGTCTTAGTGCTTGTATCTCAGCTAACTTTGTGGTTCCATTTCTTCCTTCATTCCAGGTGGAGGCTGGACAAGCTGCTGGAGGAGAAATTCATGGAGGATTGTAAAATAAACCGCCCCCACATTTGGCTCAGGAAGCCCTGAACAACATTACTGAAGACTGAAAGTATATACATATACAAATACAAAACCATGTACATATGTATAGATGTAGCTATACTCATGTATATGTAACAGTTACCCCGTTCTCATACTTTTTCTTTGGTTCCTGCCTCTGTCCCTGTCCCAGGCAGGATGCTGGGACGCTTTCAGCCTGATTTCATAAGTCCATTCTTGTCCTTCATGCAGCTGGGTGCCTGAATGTCCACGTAGGTGTGTAATACCCCATGTCCAGTCTCTCCGTCTCTCCCATTGTCAGGCACAGCCTGACTCACGTCCCCTTCCTCACTTTCCATTTGGTCATGTCATTTCTAAACCGCCTTCCTTCCCTATTCCCCACCCATGCATATGCATTTATTTTTCCCCAATGGCCACCTCTTCCCCTTCTTCGAAATCATTTGCAGAAAGCTAACGTCAAGTTGGTTTAATTAAAGCTCCTGCATGTTTATCATGTCTTTAAATCATTTCCTTCAAACAATCTTTATATGAAGTTAGCACTTTGTCAAAACACAATCCAAACCCACAGCTCAGGGCACAGCGGGAAGCACACAAGGGGAGAGCGGAGTAGCTTGGAAAGTTTGGGTGTGCTCTTTGCTAGAAGCTGCCGAGCCCACCCCTCCAAGACCTTTATTTCCCCCTGCGGCAGCTGTCATCTGATCCCATGCTTTGGCTTTGAATGGGGCTCTCTGAGGATGCCAGATGTTGGGAACAAAGGTCTAAAAATAATCTTTCCAAATAATCTTCCCATCTATCATTCAAGGAGAGCATGTGCTTTGTGTGAACATGTGAGCGAGAACCTGATCTAACTTTGAGTAAAGAAGTTCAACACCAGCTCCTGGCTTCTGCTTGTGGGCTCCTTTTTTTTTTTTTTTTTCTCCCTTTTTTTTTTTTCCCCTTTCCCTTCCCAGAAGCTGCGCAGCGAAAAGCGGCTCTCACCAGCGATCAGCCCTCGCTCTCCCTCCCTCCCCGTCTCCCTCCCTCCTTGCCAAGACTCTGAATCGTCTGGATCCTGAAAGCTGGGCTCCTTATTTGATCTCTCCTTGGGAAAATGGATTCCAGGGTGCTGTCCGAGATGCATTTCTGTAAAAAGATCTTCGCTGCAACCTTGTGTGTCTTAGTTTTGCTGCCAGATTTGGGCTGTGCAAGGAATCTCTGGAAGCGTGCTCTACATCTGAAAATGACGGAGAAATATGATGTGAGTAAACTGCGGTGGGGTGATTTTTGGGGGAGCTGGGTGTGTTTGCCATGAAAGGGGAGTTTTCTTTATGTGTGTGTATCATTTTAGAATAAGAAGTATTTGAATCCGCAGGCTGTCTCTTTATAAAAGGGTTACATTAAGTTTCCCAGGCTGGACTAAACTTTTGCCACCTAGCTGCTGCAATGGGAAACTTGCAAAGCACACTTGGAACAGGGAGAAGAAGTTGGTACGGCAGCCAGCACTGCTTTTCCTAGAAACTTCAGAGGGCAGCAAGGGAAGCGTGAATGAGGAGAAGGGCAATGCCAAACCTATGTGTCTAGGGCGAGATTTAGCGAAAAGAAGATAATGTGATTTATTGCTTGGAGTAGGGAGGAGGGTTCCCTGCCCGGTTCCTCCACTGCCTTTTGGGGTAACTCTGGGTAAATGTCTCCAACTCCCAGTGATACTGTGTACTAGAGGGACGGTGACATTGCCTAGGGTTTGGTAAATCACTGGAGCATCCCCGGATCCACAGTGTCAGAGTAACGTGCTGATCACACCTTAAGCCACCTTCTTATCCTCAAGCCATCACAAGAACAAACCAGGGAAGGGCAGGAGATTCTGTGCAAGAAAACACAGCATGGAGCTGCAGAGGCTCCAGTGTGCCCTGTGTGCCCAGGCAGCACTGGAGCACTTGCGGTGCCTGCCCAGTGCGTTAGAGGGGATACAGAGCCATGCGGCTGCTCACCAGAGGGGCACGGAGCGCAACCGCCGTTTCCAAATCTGTGGCGGTACTTAGAGCAGTGCTGGAATTGAAACTGAAGCAGCAACAAGGTACTGTGAGTGGAAAAAAAAGGATGGGGCTGGGTCTTGTTCTGGTGTGTCTGAGCCAAAAGGCCGTGGAGGAAATTAAAAAAAAAAAAAAAAAAAAGGGAAGGTAATTGGAGAGCTTGACTTTCAGGACCTGCTGTTTAGAAAGAAAAAAAACATTGAATTTGAAATTTTTACTTACTCCATTAAAATCTTCTTAGAAGCCAGCACTGACCCAAGGCTTCTGCCCCTTGAATCGCTCAGGTGGAAGCCCCAGCCAGTCTGTTTTCTCGTGCTCGGGTTTGATTGCATCTCCCAGCCATTGCATGTACATAAACAGATCCCTGGTGTCACAGAGGGGTTCCTCCACCTGTTTTCTACAGCCACATATAAAAGCTTTTCATTTAAACGGATGCTTTTTCACCCATGAGATGTAGAGTGATGTTTGGGGACAGCTACATTTGGTTTGTGCGATTGCTGACTCAGAAGTGTGATGCCTGTCTTTTGCCCCTGCGGAATGAACTGAAATATGGTGCTCGTCTCCTTGAAAATTTGCAGAAAACATTGTGCTAATATTTGAAAGGCACCCCAGTATTTTACAACAAGAAATTTTCTTTATTGTAGCCTCCCTTGGGACAGAGTATCATCTGGTTACACTTTAATTGGAAAATGATGACATGAAGAGCTGTGTTTCCTGCAAAATCACGCACTGGAAAGTATTTATTAGTATGTTCTTCTGTCATATTTCAATGCAAAGCTCAAATTCAATAGGAACTATGAAGTAAATGACCCAGAGAGATAGGACAGGAGTAGAACAGGAATTTACATGTTGATCTTGAGATAATGTGCTCTGTAGAGGCACAGAGCCCACTCCCCTGAGGATATATCCTCTTCTTTCAATCTGCAGTTCTTCAAAGGGCTGTTTTTCCTGGCAGCCGTGAATCCAGGTGCTACTGATCTGGCAAGCTCAGCTAGAATTGCTCATATTGACAGAAACATCTTATCTAGGAAAAACAGGAAATGCTTTTCTTTTTCCTTCTCCCCAAAGCCTTGTAAGGAGGAAGCCGTCTGCTCTCCATCCTCTTATTCACCAGGACTCTGTCTGGCAGCCCTTCTTGTTTCTCAGAGAGATGCTTTCTTTTCTACCAAATGCTACATGTTCCCTACAGTTCAAAAATCAGAGGCTGTGGGTGGAACAGCTGATTTGTGAGTCACTTGGATAGAGGGGTAACAGATGGAGGTGCTTACGGCAACATGCAGCCATACAGGAGATGGGCCGTAGACATCCCTGTGGGAGCCCCAGAAGGACACGGACAAGGTCTGGAGGGGTAAGAGGTGGTGAGGAGTAGGGAGTTGACTGAGTTATGTTGTCTGAGCCCAAAATATCCTCTGAGTCTACAGTAGGAGGAATGCATCCACCAAACTGCTGGCCTCAGAATGATGAGGTGTTACGGTGAGGAGCTGGTTTGAGGTCTGACCAGGAGTTTCTCATGAAGGTGTGTGAGGAAGGGTGTTTGTTGGCAAGGAGGGGTCAAGTGGGAGTGAAGAAGGGAGAAAGAGGAGAGCGAATGCAGTGAGAAGAAAAAACTGGCAGTCAGCAGTGGAACTGAGGAGCTTGGGCTTCCAGCTTTTAGCAAATCCGTGTGTTTTACAGCCGGAGAGGACACTCGACAAGTCCAGTGATTTGCAGCTGGTGTTCTGCAGCCCCTGTACGGGCGGTGGACTGTTCCGAAAGGGCACAGGGAGGCAGCTTCTAAAAAGACCTTGTAGCCCATACCTGGAGATATCCTTAACCAGGCTATTTTGGGAATGAGGGAATCCTGTTTCCCACTGGGATAGTTTATGGATACACAAACCAGTGGCAATGGTTTTATTAGATCAGATGCGCAAAAATATTTTTTTGACCATGAGGTTTTGAAAGAAAGAGGTTCAGAGCAATAGGTGAACAGAGCAAATGGGCAGGGAGGTCATGAGGTACAAAGTTATTTGGCTAAAAATGTTATATTGTTCCCAAACGGAAATGTCATTCATGGAGCCAACTGTTCATTGCAATTTTGGCTTCTTGGTTTCTGAATCATCTGTGAAGCAACTGCAGTAATTCTTTGGTGTGGGTTTTTTCATGTATCCATTATTTCCCAGTATTATTTTGGTCACTACAATTCAGTCTGCAGCTGACATTTCAAATAGAATAGTAAACTGTGACCTTCCAGGATGAATGCTCCTTCAAATCAGGAGACCTCTTAAATGTTTGGAACTGCATAGATTAAATGCTAAATGATATTATATATCTCAAAATGATACTTGGCCAAGCATTTACTCTATTTAAAATCCAAAAGCAGCAAAAAAACTTGAAATTTAATTATATTCAGTCCAGAAGCACATTATTTCAAAGCTGGAGTGTTTTCAGCTTTTTTGAGGAGTGGGATGATGTGTTAGCTTACACCTTGTTTTACACTTTAAGATGGAAAACATCATCAAAATGATGATTTTTCTTTTTTTCTTCCGAACCTATCTTGTGGTTCAAACATCCCATCAATTCATGGGAAAATAACCACGTGGAAGTGCTTTTGAGTAGTTTCTTGTTCGCTGAATAGAAACAACTAAGGAAAAAGCAGAAGAAAATTGTTTCTTGATATTGAGAACAGGGCGGGCTGATACTGGCAACAGGGCAGGAGGCTGTTGTTTGTGGAAGTACTAGGAATTCTCTGTCTCTCACACACAGACACACACATATTATTTAACCAATTATAGATATAACCAGGATATGGATTTTCCTTAATGTGCACCTTGTACCAGAAATTAAAACTCATTAAAAATCATCCTGACTTTTCTCTATACTTCTACTTCGGTGACACTCCATCTCTGTGCAACCAGGCAGAGGAGAAGCCTCACTGCTCTCCGTTTCCCCCTAGCTATGGCTCAAAAAATGGAGATGAACTTTGGTGTAAACCCCACCACCTTATCAATACAATGCTACACTATGTGTAATACATGGCGGAACGTGGAAGTAAAATGTCTCACATCAGTAGCACGAACAATGTGCGTTACTTCTTTTGGCGTCCCTTGGGATTGCCTTCATTCTCTACATTGCAAATTATCCCAAGGGAATGCAGATGATGTTGTTTTCACCGTTACTGATAATTGATTGCTGCTCGGTCACACGTAGCAGCAGCAGCTGTGTAGGCCAGCGGTTGGTCCTCAGGGCAATGGACCTCCTGGGGCCTCTGCTGGGATATTTTCTTGGACAGTACATGTGGGGACATGCTGTTTCGCAAAGGCACACATGTTCCACAGAAGCCATTGGGAGGTTTCAACAATGAGGCTGTAGCAGCATGTAGATAAAGAGGGATATTAGTCTCACCCCAAATTTCTCCATAGCCTGATGGTGAAATTTCCTAGAGACCCCCTCGGGGACAGTTGCACCATGTTGTTTCTTGGAATAACAACCCCATTGTTCGTCACTGATTTCAAAACACAACAGTGATGGGGCCAAGTATATATAGGGCTCTTAACAGCTTGCTAGCGAGTGCATGGCAGCACTCACTTCATACCTTTGGCTAGATGCTGACCTCTTTTAAAAGTACAAATCCAGAATTGTTTTTTTTTTTTAATTTGACTAGAGCTTATTAATGTGTGTTAATTAATCTGAGAACTGATTGCCCTTTCAGAGTACGTTATGCTGCTCTGGGGAGCTGAGCTCAAGCCCAGAGATGAGTAGTGTAGCCATAGGTGAGAAAGGAGTGGGCTTGGTGATTCACCTCTCTGTCGGAGGGAGTTGGCTTCTTGCTCAAATGCTGCCAGCATGAATAATATCTGAATGCTGCCTCTTATAAATGTTTCTGGTAAAATCCTGTGCCTGTTAATCCACTTTAAATCTCCCTTGTCCTTTTGGTGTGCAAAGAGCAGCTGGGCTCCTTTCTGCTATAGTCAAACACAGCCTCATTTTCTTTGGAATTAAATTGACATCACCCACACAGATCTCACCCAGAACTTCTCATGGTTTAGAAGTAGTCTCTAATTTAACAACCCAGGACCCTACAGTGGATAAATTTGAAAGACTTTGTACCACTCCTCTATGAGTTCTGGTCCAGAAGAAGGTGATGAAGGTAGCAGGAGCCTATTGAGGAGACAGGTGCTACCTGGGACATTAGTTCCAGGTCCCATTTGGGGACGTAACCTCAGAACAATACAGTGTCATTGTTTCCACTGCTTTACTGTCAAAGTGTTTTGGCATTCTTGTCATGAGGATGCCCAGAGTCTTTCTCTCTGTTTCTCAGACAAGTATAACAGACTTTAAGGATTTTTTTTTTTTACCTCCTCAATGTCATTACAATAGCCTTAATTATAAAATGAGTTCCTTCCAAAGCAGTGAGCTAAGGTGATCATACAGCGCTCTCTTCAGTGTGCTGAAGACAGGGCTGGGGAAGCCGAACGGTTAATTCTCCTCTCTAATGACTGCGTGAAAACCACTTCAAAAACCCCTCCTCTGTTTCAACTGATGGGATGTTTGGTATTCACCTTATGCCAAACCTTTGTTTCCTTTTCTTTTCTTTGCAAGGATTATGAGTACCCTCTTCATTCTCACAGTTCCCACTACCAGAAGAACGACCGTTGCCCCCCGCCACCCCAGACTTTGCCTGACCGAGCCTGCGAGGTGCCCAGCTGCCGGTCGGATTCAGAGTGCGAAAGGCACAAGCGCTGCTGCTACAACGGATGCATCTACGCCTGCCTGGAGTCCGTACAGCCACCACCAGGTAGAGTAGACCCGGCGATCAGACTGGTAGAGAGAAGTACGCAGATATGATGGTAGTCATCCCCACGTGTGTTGGGTCTTGGGTAGGAGGCACAGTTTGAGTGTGAGTTGAGGATAAAGCTTCAGTTCCACACTTCTGACTTCTGGTATGATTGCTGAATTGAAAAATTATCTAAGGCCAGCTGGTGTGGCAAAATTTCCACCAGCACAAATGGTAGAAATCACTTGAGGCCGGTTCTTTTCCTGGGATTATATATTCAGGAAAAGAAGTAATCCCAATCTGAGTTAGTGCTCACAGCACAGCTATCTCATCTGATCCGTGCCATGGGAATGGAGGACGGGAAACAGCAGCTGCTTTGGCCTTTATGACAGCAGGTTCTCGTGGCCCTGGATAACATCCATGACTCTCTTGCCGCTGGGACAAGAAGAGCATGAATATAAATATCTTGCTGAAAACTCAAATCCATCCTTCAGGAGCCTGGCAGCCTTGTCACTGGCTTTTAGAGGAAATCTGTGACTTTTCCTTAACTGTGTGCCCTATGGCTACTCCACCTTGACTCTGTGGTCTTTTGTTTATGTCTTTTATAGTTTTAGACTGGTTGGTTCAGCCCAAACCCCGCTGGCTGGGAGGAAATGGGTGGCTTTTGGATGGCCCAGAAGAAGTCTTGCAAGGTACAGTACATTTCACTGTCTTTTCTGCGGTAATTATACACAGGCACTAAATAATATATTCATCATACACAGGGCTTGCCAGGGATGCTGGGATGCCAGGTCTTCTGGTATTTGTCTGGAGTTTGCGTAGGAATAACACTGTGTGGTGCTGGGGGCTAGTTTCTGGTGCAGTAAATCAGTTGGTTTTTATCCATATGACTTATCCAGCAGACCACTATGAATACTCCAGGGAACTGGATTTGTTTCCATTCTTGGAATAAGTAGAAATATATCTTTTCTTTAGAAAAAGGCTTTGTCAGCATACACATATTTTCTGCCAGCTTCCTGATAGACTGTGGGCGGACTTGGATTAGGAGATCTTTTAATCCAGTGTGGCCGCATCACACAGATGCCTTGGGCTGGGGCTGTGCCTCTCGGGTCTGAAGGCTGCTTTGAACAAGAGCCCTGGCAAGCTGCTGCAGAGTTGTGTCAACCTGACATGGAGCTGGGAGCATCTAAGCTTGGGGTCTGCTAGTGAGATTGGGCTTCTCATGTTAATTACACAGGGAAAGGTCTTTTAATTAATTTTTTCCAATTTTCTCAAATTGAAACTAGGAGGGAGTGGGCGGGGTGGGAAGACAAGTTTTCTTCTACGAGGCATTCCCAGAACTATGTATGCCTAAAGTTCTTAATTTCTTCATGGAAAGGCTATTGCAGCTTTTGATCAGCTTTAGTCAGACACAGGTAGTGCCAATGAATTACTCTCTTTGGTCTTAGACAGATGGTATCAGACTTGATGAACCTTGACTCTCATCTATTGTGGAAACTCCTAGTTCTTCAAGAGAAATTTCTGCCTCCAGCTCATTTGAGTTGCACTGCTAGAAATAGGATAAAACAAGTTCCTCCTCATCCATCCTCGTTATCCTTATATTATTTGTTCTTATCTTAGCACCTTCATCTCAGCTTGAGGGAGTAATTAGTGAAGTAAGAACCATCAGTCACGGCATGAGAATTACAGCAGATGTCCTTGAAATTAAAATCCTGGTAAATGAAAGGGTGGAGTGTCCTTGCATAGTCTGTACATTTAATGGACACAAACACTACCTGTGAGTCCTGCTTTACTTTTTCATTCCACTCGGCACTTGCTGGATGTCCAGGGTCAAGACGGTTAAAGCCTCCATTTGTACCAGGGCTGGTACTGCCTTACTCCATAGTGAGTCACATCTGAGGTTCAGCTTCATCAGTAAGTTAATGGGTGTGGAGCAAAGAACAAAGCAGCAAACTGCCAGCTTCCTGGTCACGTTTCCTTGATTCCCCACCCAGCCCGAAACATGGGCTCAAACAGACTTATGGCTGCTTGGAGGGAACAGCCGCGTGGAGGGACCACCCACCAGTGTGAGCATGGTGGGCAGTGGTGGTCTGTCTTCACCGCTTTCCAGCCCTTGCACAGACCCTGCACAACAGGCTGTGGAGAGGGTGTCGTCACAGGGCTGACCTGCATGCCCATATTGGGCCAGACACATCAGTTTTTGTGTAAGGTGTGAACATGATCACCTGCTCTGCCAGGCTTCTTTGGAGGTGTTAGCTCCTTGGTACCCTTGCATGGGAAGTAGTCTGAGATCCTGTCTGGGAGGAGATACAGAAGGTGGCCATGTTGTCATATTTTGGTTGCCCGTGGGTGTTAAAGCCATGATTTATGACCTGCGGGCTTCTTTTGCAGCTGAGGCTTGCAGTACTACTGAAGATGGAGATGAGCCTCTGCATTGCCCCACAGGCTATGAATGCCATATCATCAACCCAGGTAACACAGCTGAAGGAATCCCTAACAGGGGCCAGTGCATCAAGCTCCGTGGAAATCCAGGTCAGTTGACTGGAAGTCTCCCTTCCTTTCTTCTTCTGTCATGCAAACACCAGCTAGGGACGGTGTATTCTCACTGGCTTTGAAGGAGATCTGGTGGTACATCTGCTCTCATGGGCTTCCTGGGTTTTCTGGGTGCCCCCAGGCAGTGTGTGACAGCTGGGATGGGACACACTCCCCACTCTGCAGCCATCTCAAGTCTCTAATGCCCTTGATGCTGGCTGAGCTATGTGAAATACCCAAAGCAGGGTGAAATACCCAAAGCTATGTGAAATACCTAAAGCAGGGGTACACACTTCTTGTTTGCTCTGTATGCCAGCATCCTCTGGGATTGTGTAAGCAGAGCGGGTAGTAACCTGCATGTGCCATTATTACGCAGCACAAAAATAGACATATTTATATATTACTGAACACCTAACTAAGAAATACGAGTTCCAGTTTTGACTTCTGACTTCACTTTCTGCATCCAAAACATTGTTCCTCTTATTCTGCTGACACATTTGCCCAATAACAGAACTTACCTAGGCCAAGCTATTTTTCAGGAAAGCTCATAACATGTCTGGGTATGTGTAACTTCATTGAATAGTAGGATATCTATGTCTGAGACTTGAGACATCAGTTTTGCCAGCTGGTCACAGTAGAAGCCACGGGAAGCATCAAACCAGATCTCTGAATTGCTTCTGTAAAAGGCTAAGATTTTTCCTAGGGCTTTTTGATCATCTCTTTTATTCTTTTATAACTTTTTCTTTAATAACATCCGTAGTAACTAATGTAATGTGTAGCTGTGTGGCTCTTAGACATGAGGTATTTCTAAGAGCTTAAATAATTGTATTAATGGTAAACAGAAAAACCTAGCTGGAACCTGAATTATATAAAACCTTAATAGATGGTCTGAAATTTTACCCAAATTTTCTTTCATTTGAGAAAGTCTGCGATTCCTTGACTCATAGCTACTGAAAAGAACATAACATGCTAGTGGCCGGCAGTTAACCACTTTCAGGGAAAGGGAGTTGTGTCCACATAGTTCAATAACCTAAACAGTTTTAGAAGAGTTTTATAGCAGCCTACACTGTTTCAGCCACAGAGATCTTTTATTTTGCTGTTTGTGAGGTTATTATTTCCATATCTATAATTTCTCTGTGCTGTACACAGAAGGCAGGAGTTGAACACAAAGAACGAAGGCAGACTGGATACGTTCTCATTACATACCTTCTTTTTCAGATGGACGCAACCTGAGGCACAAGTATTACAAGGAATATTTTGGTAAGCTGCTGGCATGAAATATTTGCTATTATTAACCTTTATCGTTATTGCATTGCTTACAAGGAATTTTTACTGCTTATGAAATGAAGGTTTGTACATAGCAAAAAGAGATTCTTTAGCCTCAAGTCTCTATGCCTTGGTTAAAAGATCTTATTTTAAGATCTGCAATGCCCTGACTGTGGACTCTTGAGAATCAGTATCTCCAGCTGTGACACAATGTGTTAAATGGTGCAGCCTTCTGCCAGGGTTTCCCACCCAAGGCATGAGAAACACCCAATCCAACAACCTTTTGTTATATTTATATTTTGGGAGCTTTGCTCATGGCCCAGGACTCCTTGCAGATGAACACAGAACTCTCTCAAAAGCAGGGTCTTTTGCCAAGAGCTTGTATTGTGGTATGTGATAAGAGGTGACTGGAGCCCAATGAATCAGTCCCTTGTTGTCATCTGAAACCACAGGAGGTGTCAGGTCCCTTGCACAAGTTGATGGATATGTATCTCAAAGAAAGCAGGAAGATCTCCCAGATCTCTCTTCTCATGGCTTCAAAGCTCCTCTTTGAAGGAGCTAACGCTTGGATCTAGAGGGGGACAGTCAGATCAGATTGGAAGTGATATTCAGATATAACCAGACAACATCTTTGATATGATAAGATTTACAAACAGCCAAATTCGGCCAATTTAGCTGATAAAAGTATGAAAGGATTTCCTTTCCTCTGCCCAGCGGGCTATCACAGCTCTCCCAGAGAGCTGCTAAATAACGAGACCAGTAACACTGTACTGCTTAGAGAATCTTGAGAAAACATTTGCCACAGACTAGCTTAAAAATCTACCTTTGCTGATATTTGTTTTACAGGGAGCAATTCCAACAATGTGGTCGGCTATGTGAAAAACCAGCAGAAGCATTTAGGCTAATCAAAGGTGTGCCTGGGTAAGTGTCCTGTGAGTAAAGGGAAAGCTGGGTGAAAATAGCTGGTGCCTAGCATGCAATTATTTAAAGAAATTGTTGTTTGAGGGTGAAATTACCTCTCATCAAAACGCCAATATAAGGACAGCACCTTAAAACTACGTACAGGTGCATACCTCGGGCTCTGTGAAACACCTCGGCTAACAAACAGATGGTGCTGTAAAAGTATCCCAAGAAATCTGTGGCATTGGAGATTGGGCTCCACAAACTGTCCATGGAGCAGTTCATGTCTTTCCCAACTCTTACTCTTCCCCCTCTCACTTCTTCTACTTTCACAAGCTGCACCTGATTTCTTTGAAGAACTTTTGCCTTGTGGGTGTTTAGAGGCTGGAGTGATTTCCGGGATGAAAAATAAATGCTGCAAACTTTGTGTGCCTTAAGACTTTAAACTTTCTGTTTAGGGGCTTCTTCTAATGCAAGTAGAACTGCTCCTGCAAGACAAATTAAAAAGCTCTTTATTCTGAACTGATTGCAATAAGGGTCAGTCTTGCAAATACTTAGGCACAGGGGTGATTTTGTGGGATAACTTTATGCACGTGATCAGTTACACTGGACAGTGTGACCCTCTCATGTGAGTAAACGTACGTGTATCTGGCCAGAGTGAAGCTGCCTGACAAAGCTCCAACCCATTTGTCAGGCTTTGAATTAGGCAAGAATGAAAATATTGATTATACCAAAGGTTCTGTCCCAAGGTGGTTTTCTCAACACTTTCAGCTTCTCTTTAAAACTAACTTGAGCTTAACTGGCAGTTATGAAAACAAAGCAGTTCAGTGTATCTTTTATGTACCTACGTCACGCCACTGTTAAGATTACACAGCTACATAAGGACAAGTTCTGTGCAAACATCCCAGGAAGGATAAATATTTTAATTCCTCTCTTTTGTTTGATTTTCACCCAGCTGGACCACTCTGTTAAGCAGCTGTCAAGGAATGCTTTAACCAACAGTTTTCTGTTTTGGAAGAACTCTGGTCCCAAATCTCCACGAGCACGTCTCCAGCATTTCCCTGATCCCTGCCCATCAGTGATAAACAGACTTGGCTATTCAAGGAACAGGATGAGCCGAGATTTTAAACCTATGAGGAAGGGGAGGAATGTGATCCCCTGAAAGAAACCACACCGTTTATGAGCTGCCCTTCTACCACTGAAATGCAAATACCTCCAAGTGGATTCCTATAAGCCACAGCGCTGGAACAGAGCCTGCCCTTTATGTGCGTAGTATCTGACTGATTCAGATTTCATGAACATAACTCAGTATTATAAAAATGAAGTGACGTCAGAATTGTACCTAAATACCATATCTAAGTTGCATTAAAATAGGCAGGACTGTAAGGCTAAAGGAGCTCTCTGGATCAAATCCAGTGCCTGCCTATCTCAAACAACTACTTTAAATAAGCTTTTTCATAAGCTTAAAGTTCAAAGAAACCTGCAGGTTTCTTTTTTTTTTTCCCCTATTTATACCTAGGTTCGACACCCAGTCTACAAGCCTAAACCTGAAATCTTAAGAATTTGAGAAAATCTGAGCTAGGAGCAAAACACGGTTTATAAATTTTTTTTTAGGTTACTTTCCTTTAGCTTCTCAGTCTGGTGAGCTGCAGATCAAGAGCTAATGAAGGAAAAGATTTCTTTCTACGCTATCTAAGGAGACACACACGTGTGCCAGTCTTTTTTTAGCCAGCACAGTTAATACTCACAAAATGTACATCTGCATTTTTGTACCTGCAAAACCTCAGCAAGAGGGCTGAAGTCTGGATCATTGGTTGCACGTGTTAGAAAAGCAAAAGCAGGATAAATTTGTGTGATTAAAAGGATTGTCTGGCAGATGGGCAACTGCTCCTTAGAAGTCCTGTACCTTTAGGTTGACTTCCATAAATCCTTAAGGTCAAGTTATTTGTATTTGGGTCTTACAGCTTCTTTTAGCTGTTTAGCATTATAAAATAGAAAACACATTTGCTATGAATGTTTTCTTTTGCTATGGCAGTCCGAAAGGGACAATTGCATTTCATTTTGACAAATCTGCCAGAACTGCTAGGCAAAAGGAGCCGTGTTTGCTCCCTTGTTTAGTACGTGCCCCCATCTGCATGCATAAAATCAGCATTTTAATATGCAGAGTAGTAGCGGTGTATATAAATACCCAATTCACAAATACAAGTGCTTGCTTCTACCCACAAACAATGGGATTTTTTTTTTTTCACTCACCAAATGGTTTAAACCAAAGCTAAGATGCTTATAAAACACTTGATACTTTGCATATGACGTTTCCAGCTGGAGGGATGCAGGATGCCAAACTGCTCTTCTGTTTCCTATCATAAACGGGCACGCTCCTCGATGCCTCACAGAGCAAAGGAACAGACGAAGGGCTCCACATTTCCCTAAATATCTTCATTTGTTGAACTCCATTCACTTCTTTGTGCCTTTGTTCCAAGCTCTAGGTATTAAATGCAACACCATATCCAGCCAGATCTATTCCTAGAATTTTACCATATACCACTTCATACAATATCTGAACTCCTGCTGAGAGACACGAGTCCACCTGTATTTTATAGTTCAAGTCTCAGTTTAGGTCAGAAACTTGCCACTTTGCCACTGACACTACTTGACAACTTAAAGCAACACAGCCCGTAATGAAAGTCTGAATGCAGCCTTACTCCTAGGTGCTGCTCAGTGAAGGGGATCGATTTTTTTCAGCATTACTTTTTGCAGAAAAATCAGATTCTGATTAAATGAGCAAAGCCTTTCACTGGTTACTGCTAAGTCCTGAAGAGTAGATGCCAGATTGGTCTATTTTAAAATAAAAAATTCAGTGCCTAAAAACCTCAGAGGATCCAGTTGAAAAACATGTCTTGAGCATTAACAAATTTGCAAGTTTAAAACTTCGGATCTCAACCTAGTCTTGCAAAGCATCCAAAAATATGTTTGATTTCAGTAGATATATTCACTCCAGTGGCTGCTTTTTTGTAGTTACAAAAGAACATACCTGACCATGTTGCTGGGTGGGATGATAAAGATATTTTTCTACCTGCAAAAGGAATTTTAAAAAAAAAATAATTGACAAATTAATAATTTGTTGATGAATCTCTGTTTACTGGGTGTTATCAAAGACATCACCCTTCCTTGTGGTGCTATAATGCTTCGGGTTTTTTTTCAAATTATTAATTGTCAAACTCAGAAACAAAAGTCACAGAAGAGACTTGTCTAAACGCTGTGTTTTCAACACTGACCTCCATCACAGGTTGAAACGAAAACATGGAAAAAAATGAGTTGTCCTCAGCTTGTCTTCTCTCCAAAGACAAATGGCTTCACAACAGTCGTGTAAGCACAGTAGGAAATCACTAATGTAGATTGTTTTTAATGTTTCCATGTACACTTTAAAGCATGTTTGGTGCTATAATAAACTTTACGTGTATCACTGTGTGCTAGCAATGCTCATGGCCTTCCAGATCCTCGAGCTGCTCTGCCTTGCAGCAGCCGAGGATCTGCGGCAGCCCCAGGCAGACCCTTCCCGGTGCGTAGACGTGTACAGGTTCTGCCACTTCGGTGCTCAATAAAAAGTGACCAGTATATTTTTCAACTCTGCCTAGTTTCGGTTGTGTGTTCTTGACATACACTTGGCTTTGAATTATGAAAAAAAAAAGGACAAATCTTTTAAATTTTAGTTGTTGGGGTTCTGCCACTTCGGTGCTCAATAAAAAGTGACCAGTATATTTTTCAACTCTGCCTAGTTTCGGTTGTGTGTTCTTGACATACACTTGGCTTCGAATTATGAAAAAAAAAGGACAAATCTTTTAAATTTGAGTTGTTGGGAGAGCTCGGAAAACATAGGCACAGGGAGACAAAAGTCATTTTGTGCACTGGAAGGAAGGTGACAGACCCCCCCAACACATCTACCACCAGTGTCCCCTCTGAGAGGGGCCACCTTGGTGGATCAGACACTCACTCGGTTCTTGGCGCCATCATTTGTATTGCCCAAAGAGGAGCTGATGGACAGAACCGTAAAGAGGATAGTGATGGTGACCCAAGTAGGTGACCCTTTTATTTTCCTTGTCACTTCAGAGCTGTTCACTGCCGGCTGGGTTTCAGCTGCCGGCTCAGGTGCTTTGCGCTGCAGAAGCAGCTGCTCAGGCGGCTTTGCAAGAGGCCAAGGCTTGCTCTGAGGGTGGAAAAGCAAACCAAGTCGGAGGCCAGCGTTGGGCTGGTACCCACTGCAGGATACCAGGGCTGAAAGAGGAGCCTGGCACTGAGAGGTTGGGCTGCTGAGCGCTGCGTTTCCAGGAGTAGGCAAGACTTCATTGTCCCACCAGCTCCACCCACACCAACCTTGCTCTACCTGTTCATCAGGAGTGGGCAGGAGTCCTTCTGCAATGCGTCCCTTCTGCCCTGAAACCACAACAGAGCAGTCACAGGGAGAGAAACTGCCTGTAATTTAGCCAAGGAGGGAATAGCAGTGAGGTTCATCGCTTTGGAAAGGTTTTCTGGGAGTTTTGAGAAGATGCCAGCTAGCACTAGGTGTCAGATTAGCTCTTCGGTCTGGCAGTGATGTTATCCTTGGGATCACTTCAACTCCTCATGGCAATGGTCATATGGCCTGTTTGCATGGGGAGACTACAGGATGTGTGTGCATGAGTCGTGCCGCCTGCTGTGAAGCATGAGGTGGACTGACTACCTTGGCTTTCAAGGGAAGGATCTGCTTGGTGAACACCACAAAATGATGTTTTGATTTCAATTTGTTTCCATGTTAATGCAATCAAATAGAGTTTCAGTCGATGTAGCTGGCTAACAGTCTTTGTGGAAAAAACCAGATGACACTGAAGTGCTATCGGTGCATCCATGAACCCAGCAGCTGGAATCAACGGAAGGATAAACATTATAATAGATCTTCACGCAGTCAGGGGCCTGCGTTAAAACCACAGTGTGCATCTCTAGGTCAGCAATCTGCAGAAGTTGTAAATATGAGAAGAGTAGTAATAAAAAATTGCTGTAATTTTGACATGCCTTGTTCATAGCTCCATTAAACTTTACGGTGCTGACGTGTAAGCGGTAAGTCCTATTTCTTCCCTTTTTTCCTCCTTCTTGTTACCTTTCTATGTACACAAAGTAGCAAGAACCACAGGAGAAGCTGTGCAAAACAAAAAAGACCTTTTGACAGTTTCCAAGATGGAGATGTGGACGATGGGGTTCCTTTCACCCAGCTGAGCCTCCCTATTGCAGCCGTGGAGTCTGTGCAAACGGAAATCAAGAGATTTAATTAAATTCCCCCTTCCTTCCTGGTGAAACACCTAGGGACAGACCTAAGGATTTTACCTAGCCTTTTTCCTTAGCATTGATAAGATGGAAAGGAACCATGCCCCAAAACTTTGTCCTTTGCTTTTATAGCAGCAGATGTTCTGCCCAGGGGCTGGGAAAAACCTGACCTGAAAGCAGAGCATTTTGGATTTTTGGGTAGCAGCAAACTCAGTAAATTCTACCCATGCACCAGAGTTTTTTTCCCTCAAGGTGGCACAAGAGGCACAGAAGTGTGACAAGCCCTGGTAATGGCGAGGGAAGCAGGTGAAGGAGCTGTGAGATTTTGTAGTGAAAGCAGCACCCTGCCCTCCCAGCTGCAACCCTTTGGGCTCACGTAGTCTCAGATTACAGCTGCTTTCTTCTTTCTGTATGCATCTTCATAACAGATTTTTTTTTTTTTTTTAAAGTTTGCCAAATAACCTACTCAGAACTGGAGTCTGACCCTGAGCTTTATTATCCAATTAAATAAGAATTACTATAAAGATATTTTAATTGGGCTGCGTCTTGTGTTTTTACAGTGTGAAAATTATGCCTTATACCAGAATGAAGAAATACAACTTCTATTACTGGTGTTTCCTTTACATTATAGTCTTGATTCAGGTTATTCCCAGCATTTCCTGAGCCATGAGATAGATAGCAAAATACATGATTTTCCCATCAGATTTTCTAACAGGCAGAAATCAAACGCAGCAAGAAAATGAAACTTCAGCCCGTTCCATCAGATTTTCTAACAGGCAGAAATCAAACACAGCAAGAAAATGAAACTTCAGCCCGTGGCAGAATGTGTGGCAAATGGCAGGAACAACTACATTTTCTTTCTG